GTAGTCCCTGCTCTCTGCAGCTAGAGAAAGCTCACACACAGCAACAAAGACCCAATGCAGCCAAAAATAAAATAAATTTATTAAAAAAAAATTCTATCACAGATGTTCTTCCACAGAAGTGAGAGTTCTGAGTCCCATGTCTGGCTCCTGTCTGGTGGTCTGGCATCAGGAGGAGTCCCCAGAATGTTTGGATTTGAAGGCCAGTGGGGCTTAATCACAGGAAATCCACAGGATGGGGGGAAACAGAAACACTACCCTTGGAGGGTGCACACAAGGTCTCGTGCACACTGGAACCCAGGGGAAAAAGCAGTGACTTCATAGGAACCTGGGACAGACCTACCTGCTGGTCTTGGAGGGCCTCCTGGGGAAGTGGGGGGCAGCTGTGGCTCACTGCAGGGACAAACACACTCGTGGTGGAGGTACCAGGGAATAATGATTGGTGTAAGCTGTCCAGGAGGCCGCCATTTTGACACCAAGACCTGGCCCCACCCAACACCCTGTAGGCTCCAGTGCTGGGATGCCTTAGGCCAAACAACTAACAGGGCAGGAACACAGTCCTACCCATAAGCAGACAGGCTGCTTAAGGTCTTCCGGAACCCACAGCCACCTCTAAACACACCCTTTGACATGGCCCTGCTCACCAGATGGACAAGACCCAGCTCCACCCACCAGTGGGCAGGCATCAGTCCCTCCCACCAGTTAGCCTGCACAAGCCTCTTAGATCAGCCTCACCCACCAGGGGGTAGCCACCAGAAGCAAGGGGAACTACAATCAAGGGGAACTACAATCCTGCAGTCCATGGGACCACAAACACAGAAAGTTAGACAAAATGAGATGGCAGAGGAATATGTTCTAGACGAAGGAACAAGATAAAACCCCAGAAGAACAACTAAATGAAATGGAGATAGGCAAAGTACCTGAAAAAGAATTCAGAGTAATGATAGTAGAGATGATACAAGATCTCAGAAAAATAATGGAGGCACAGACAGAGAAGATACAAGAAATATTTAACAAAGAGCTAGAAGATTTAAGGAACAAACAACAGAGTTGAACAATAAAATAACTGAAGTGAAAAATACACTAGAAGGAATCGGTAGCAGAATAAATGACGCAGAAGAACAGACAAGTGAGCTAGAAGACAGGATGGTGGAAATCACTGCCATGGAACAGAATAAAGAAAAAAGAATGAAAAGAAATGAGGACAGTTTAAGAGACCTCTGAGACAACACTAAATGCACCAACATTTGCATTATAGGGGTACCAGAAGGAGAAGAGAGAGAGAAAGGGTATGAGAAAATATTTGAAGAGATAATGGCTGAAAAATTCCCTAACATGGGAGAGGAAACAGTCACCCAAGTCCAGGAAGCACAGAGTCCCATACAGGATTAACCCAAAGAGGAACACACAAAGACACATGGTAATCAAAATGACAAAAATTAAAGATAAAGAGAGAATAATAAAAGCAGCAAGGAAAAAGCAACAAATAACCTACAAGGGAATCCTCATAAGGTTATCAGCTGATTTTTCAGCAGAAACTCTGCAGGCCAGAAGGGAGCGGCATGATATATTTAAAGTGATGAAAAGGAAAAACCTACAACCAAGAATACTCTACCCAGAGGCTCTCATTCAGATTTGATGGAGAAATCAAAAGCTTTACAGACAAACAAAAGCTAAAAGAATTCAGCACCACCAAACCAGCTTTAGAACAAATGCTAAAGGAACTTCTCTAGGTGGAAAAGAAAAAGCCACAACTAGAAACAAGAAAATTATGAATGGGAAAGCTCATTGGTAAAGGCAAACATACCGTAAAGGTAGGAAATCATCCACACACAAATATGATATCAAAACAAACAATCGTGTGAAGAGGAGAGCACAAATGCTGGATATTGGAAATGCACTTGAAATTAAGAGATCAGCAACTTAAAACAAATCTATATATATATAGACTGCTGTATCAAAACCTCATGGTAACCACAAACCAAAAATCTACAATAGATAATACACACAAAAAATAAAAAGGAATCCAAACACAACACTAAACATAGTCATCAAATCACAAGAGAAGAGAACAAAAGAGGAAGGGAAGAAAACAAACCCAAAACAATTAACAAAATGGCAGTAAGAACATACATATCAGTGCTTCCCTGGTGGTGCAGTGGTTAAGAATCTGCCTGCCAATACAGGGGACACGGGTTTGAGTTCTGGTCCGGGAAGATCCCACATGTCGCGGAGCAACTAAGCCCATGTGCACAACTACTGAAGCCCTTGTGCCTAGAGCCCGTGCTCCACAACAAAAGAAGCCAGCCCACACACTGTAACGAAGAATAGCCCTCGCTCGCCACAAATAGAAAAAGCCCACGTGCAGCCATGAAGACACAGTGCAGCCAAAAATAAATAAATTAAAAATTTAAAAAACACATATCAGTAATTACCTCAAATGTAAATGGATTAAATGCTCCAACCAAAAGACGTAGACTGGCTAAATGGATACAAAAACAAAACCCCTATATATGCTGTCTATAAGAGACCCACTTCTGATCTAGTGACACAGACTGACAGTGAAGGAATGAAAAAAGTTATTCCATGCAAATGAAATCAAAAAAAAGCTGGAGTAACAATACTCATATCAGACAAAATAGACTTTATTTATTTTTATTTTTGGCTGTGTTGGGTCTTCATTGCTGCACGCAGGCTTTCTCTAGTTGTGGCGAGTGGGGGCTGCTCTTTGTTGCAGTGTGCGGGCTTCTCATTGCGGTGGCTTCTCTTGTTGTGGAGCAGGGGCTCTAAGTGCACGGGCTTCAGTAGTTGTAGCACGCAGGATCTAGAGCACAGGCTCAGTAGTTGTGGAGCACGGGCTTAGTTGCTCTGCAGCATGTGGGATCTTCCCAGACCAGGACTTGAACCTGGACTTGAAACCGTGTCCCTGCATTGGCAGGCAGGTCCCTAACCACTGCGCCACCAGGGAAGCCCCAAAATAGACTTTAAAATAAAGACTGTTACAAGAGACAAAAAAGGACACTACATAATGATCAATCCAAGAAGAAGATATAACAATTGTAGATATATATGCATCCAACATAGGAGTACCTCAATATATAAGGCAAATGCTAACAGCCACAAAAGGAGAAATCAACAGTAACACAATAACAGTGGGGGACTTTAACACCCCGCTTACATCAATGGACAGATCATCCAGACAGAAAATCAATAAGGAAACACAATAGAAAAGGTCAATGAAACTAAAAACCTTTTGTTTTGAAAGATAAACAAAACTGATAAACCTTTAGCCAGACTCATCAATCAGTACACCTGATTTTCAAGTCCTCCCAGCCCAGATGCCAGCCATGCAAGTGACAGAGCCTTCAACTGATTCCAACCCCCAGCTATCAAACCAGTCTCAGACATTGAGTCTTCCCAACTGCAGCCTCAGACATCCCCACTGTGCCCGTCCAACTCTCTGGCCTACACAATCCATTGGCATAATAAAACGGTGATTGCTTTAAACCTCTAAGCTTTGGAGTAGTTGCTACATAGCAATAATGGCCAGAATAGGTCATAAGGCAATCCCGTTCGGTTCCCTCAAACCCCCAAGAAGTATTCTGCCTTTTGAGCGTTTTTCTGGTTGGGGGGAGGGAGGAAAGCATTCAGCCAGTAGACATAGGATTCTTTTGAGAAAAAAGCTGAGTTTTGGCATCTTCTAACCAAGCTTTACTGGGCCCCTCCTGGCAGGGGAAAGTCAGCCCCTTGCCCAGTCTGATCTGGTCAGCCACTCCCAGCCCCACCCCAGCTCAAGACTCAAAGAGATGCTTCACTGCCCCCAATTCACCTCACAATAAGCCATCTCTGAGGAAAGAAGGTAAGGCTCTAAAAGCACTGTCAACCTAATCATTATGTAAGACTGATTGGACAGAAAACTGCCCTGGCACTGCTGCCTGACACTCATTTCTAACTGGCCACAATCCAGTTCTGTTACTGAATCATCTCCATCCCATGGTCATGTTTTACCTCTCATTTCCCCTTCCCAAGCAGACCTTTCAGACCCACATTCATATAAACATCACCAGGACTGTTTCACCCACATTCATATGAACATCACCCCAGTGCTGTTGCACATCGCTCCACTCTACACAATCCTCCTGGCTTCTCCCCTCCCTCACTTGTCCCCTCCCACTTGAGTGAGCCGCCCTGGGATACAAGTATTTAAACCAAATCCTGTTTCCAATGGGTGTCTCAATATTTTTAAACCTCTTTCCTTATAAGCTTAGTGGAGCCTCTTGCCCATAACAAGGGAACTAGATGTCTCATTTTTCCCAGGTTTATGCCTATTGACCCAGCTTAATTAATATTGGTACTCTCAAAAGCGCCCCAATTTGGGTAATAATGTATATGATCCCCCTAACCCTAACGCCTGTCTTCTATCATTTGCCATCCTTCACATGAGACAAACCCCTACCTAATTTCTTGGCAGGAATAATGATCAAGAATACACAATGTTTTATACAAGAAACCTCAGGTAATGTCCAGAGTGGACTTGTTATATGGTTATATGGAGGGCATTTTCCTCATTTGTGAATATCATAATCTAAATCATCTCTTTTGCATATAGCGAGCAGGAACTGAGTAAATGAAGGAACAGGTGATGGCTAATGTCCTTTCTAGGCCTCAAATTTTAAGGATATATGTGTAAATTCACAAACTGGGCTCAATCCAGTGTAGCAGAATTTTCTTCCTCTTTAGAAATTTCTGGTTACCAAAGTTCCAGAAATTGCTTTCTCATTCCCTAATCTTTCAATTTCTCGTGTTCTCCATTACGTAACGTGGAGCTGGGGCTTTGGGCCGAATTTTCCTTTAAAGATGATTTTTATAGTCAATAAGCAACTTCAAGGAGTGACGAAGCCAGCCGGGGAGGCGATATTAGTTGACGCAAGCGTCTAAGCGAATCCCAACTCGTTTTTCCCAGGGACTCAGATTCCCGGGCTTGCTTGGCAGGGCTGAGCCTCTGCGCGTAAACCCCGGGCTTGGGCAGCCGCCTCCGGGCCCCGCCCCCGCATCTCCTCCTCTGCCCCGCGCTGACGCCGGCCCTCGCCGCCAGTCGTTGACAGCCGCCGAGCTGCGAGCTTCTTCTTTCCCGCAGAGGCAGGTAAACAGCCGCATCGCCCTTTAACCTCCCAGCTGGGGCCGTGGGCGCAGAGGCCGGCAGTCAGAACCCCTGCCTTTGGGCCGAGGCGCGAGGGCGCACGGCCGGGTTCGGGCGGGAGGCCGACCTTGACAGTGAGGAGGACGGGGAGCTTCCGGAGGGCGCGCAACGCGTCAGGCCTACCCAGCGAGCTCGTTGGTTTTCGGACGCCGTGGCTTGGTTTTGCCCTCCTGGTTAGGCGAGCTCCCTTTACTCGGAATGGGGGCGGGGTCCGCGGCTGGCCGGGGCCCCTCTGGAGGGTTGTGGGTAGTGTTGAGGAGTCTGGCCCCCTCCCAGGCAAGTCCACGGCGGGAGTGGGATGGGCGAGTAGCGCCGGCAAGGGGGCCACAGGTCCGGGGAATGGGCGCGCGGAACCCAACGAAGGCCGCAGAGGGGCTCCGCTGGGGCGCTCAGCGAGGAGGACCAGGGAGAGGCGCGGGTCCGGGCCATCCCGATACCCAGAGGGGACGCGGCCGACCACCCGGGTCCAGGGCCTCGGCAGGGAGGAGTCCCGGGGCGTCTGGGGGCCGCCCCCAGCCGCCGCCGCCGCCGACCTCCTCCCCAGAGGAGGCCCCGCCTGCCATCACGCGGCCGGGCAGTGCCTGGGACGCAGCAGCGGGCGGGTCTCTGGCACCCCCGGGGACCGGCACAGGCTGGCGTGAGCTGGGCTTCCGGCCTCGGCGGGCGGAGTCTTGGGGCGACCCCGCCCTCACTCCCGGGCCTGAGACGTCCAGGTGCCGGCGGCAGAGTGTCATTTGCGAGCTCATGTGTGGTGGACTCACAGGCTTTGCTTTTCGCCGTCTCGACTGTCCCTGTGGAAGGAGAGAACTCGGCCGTCAGGGGGACTCCGAGAGCGGGGATCAGGGCCGGGCAGCGCCCCTCGGAGAACCACATTCCTCCGCTAGTATGGGTGGCACCTTCACGTTTGATTATTGAACAACGGGGAGAAGTCCATTTTTGCAGTCCATTTTCGTTTTTGTCCTTTTCTATTTGTATCAGCAGTAGCAAATAGATTTTTTGAAATCATAAGCCCACCACCATCACATCCACCCTCACCATCTCAAAGCCACTGCCTTCTGTTTTTCAGTTTCCTCTTCTCCAGTTCGTACACAACACAATGCAGTTTCACCTCGCTGATCATGATTATCCTCATCTCATGGCCGAGTTATTTTCCTGTACTTAGAGCAGTCACGGTTTAATAAGCAGTTCCCAGCATGCTGAACATTTGAAGTGTTTCTCTTTTCCTTGCAAAAAAAATCCAGGTAGAATAGAATTAAAGATTTTCACAAATCAAATTATCAGAAAAAATAGGAACAGAAAATTGAATTAAAATGTCAGATCTCTGGAAAAATCAACAGCTCTCTCAGATTTGAAGAAGAAAAAAAATATCACCAATGAAAAGGAACAATTTTACCTACCCAAACACTGAGGAGCTCTTACAATGAAAAAGAACTAAACAGAAAGGGAAAGAAAGCAGAGCTAGGATGTGATTTGTATATGGTTTTTATCTGACACAAATTTTTCATACTTGTGAAAGGAGAATATCGAGATTATAAAAGATAAATGGTGAAATGATGAATCGTTTATAGAATACAATGCAAATTAAAGTAAGTCTGGATTATCATTTTGCAGCTATTAGCAAAAACAACAGTAACAGCAACCACTGCTGGAAGGTTGCCTAGAAATTTGCATATTCAGTTCTCCTGGGAGGTGACAGGGCTTTGGGGTTAGAAAGATGGCTCTGCAACTAATCATTTCACAGCTTGGGACCAGTTACCTAATTTCCTCATCCTCCTTTTGTCCATTCATACGCTAGAGGAAATTATACCTATTTCAGGAGTTTGCCAAGATTAACTGTTTGTGTAAAACTGACCTTTGGTATGTATACCTTTATTCTTTTCCTAGTCACACTGCACTGGGGACATAGTGAATCTGTGTGAAATTTGTGAAAAGCAGTCTGGTGATGCATTTAAGCCAAGACCCAGAAACCCCACTCCTGGGAATTTACTTGCAATGGAAGAAGCAACAGGAAAGGGGAAAAAAAAGCCATATGCACACACATTCAGAATGATCTAAAATTAAACCCAACGGAGAAGCAACCTAAGTGTGTAACAGCAGGGCAGCAGCTAAGAAAATCATGACACATTAACTGAAAGGAACATTGTGTAACCATCAAGTCATGATTTTGGAGCCTGTCTGCGATATATTGGAAAAAACTGACAAGTCAAAGTACAGATTACTAAACTGCATCTACTTACTCAGATGCGGTTTATTAATGTATATGTGAAAAATCTGAATAAAAATGAAGTTTTAATAGAAATACAGGTTATTTTAATTTCCTTTTCATGTTGATATATTGCTTTTCAAAATAACATCTTTAAAATAGTTCATAGTTAATTTTTTTAAGGAAATGGACCACAGCTTTCTGTGTGTGGGAGAGGGAGAGCTCAATGTCATGTTTGCTGCTGCTTTTTTGAGCTGACCTCATGTTTTTTTTCAAATATTATCTTGTTTTTTTCCTTGAGTAGATATATAAGTGGTTTAGTAATTTATATATTGGGTTTTTCATTTAAAGAATCAGTTCTTAGATTTATTTATCAATTCTAGTTTTTTCTTTTCTGTTTTTTTGTTTTGTTTTTTTTTTTTTTTTTTTTAGGGACTCCTGAATATATTTGAAAACTGAACAGTTTCAGCCAAGCCGAAGCATTCTGTCTTCCCAGGGACACAAATGCAACTTAGCTGAGCCAAAGCAGATGTACGTACCCTGTGGAATCCCTTTGGTCTTGTGATGGTTGAAAGTTCCCAACTGTCACAGAAGATAAGGTCCTCGAAAGGCTGTGATCACAAATCCTTGCTCTGGAGGCAACTTGGATCTATATATGTAACCCACACCTATTATATCATCCTTTCTTGTAAAATCATCTTGATTTTGCAGGGAAAGGGCTTTCTCTAGAATCATTCTGAGTTATGTAAGGAAGCAACCATTTTAAAAATAGTATAATAAAAGCAGTAACATTACAAACATTTCTGCACCAAATTAATACTGACAAAAGGTTTTATGAGGTGACAGTTTTTCCAAGCTGTAGTTTTAATTTATCTATTCCAGTCTCTCTTTTCGGATCATATTTCCTCTTCCAAGGCAGCCAGTTTTATCAGTTGTGAACTGCTGCATGTGAAACATTCAAAACATGCCTGTATCTAAAGCTGTGATGGCTGCAGCAAAATAATCCTTGAGTGAATAGCATGTGTAGTAATTCTTACATTTGGGAGAATTTTTTCTGTTTGTTCATCCTTTTTCTTCTAACCATATTCTCCTGGGGTATGGGGTAGGCTCTAGCAATGTTGCTTTTTTTTCAAGCTGTTCACATAATTCTGAGGATGGATCAGGTTCAGGCCCTTTGCCCTATTCAGTCCAGGGCTAGGCCTCAGTGCCAGTGAAAAACCCCCACCCCAGAGCGGTTTGTAAAATTTTGAGTAGCTTGCATTAGGCTCTTTAAGGGGCAATGACCTCAAAAGATAAAAATATGACACATGAGTTCCACTTAGCTCAGGAAAGACAGGAAATTTTTCCGGGGCAGTCGGGGGTAGGGGGACTATTTGGTGTGCCAGTTCCCAATTTAACCAATTAAGTGTCAAGGGTGTAACATGTTTTAAGTATCAGAAGTTTGGCCCCTGGCACATGACCACTGGACAAGTTCCTCCTGGCTCTGATTCTCAGTCCCATGTATTCCCCATGGGAATAGGATGAATGGCGTAATATATGGATCTTTTTTTTGTTCCTTCTCTCTAGTTCCACCGCTCTGCCATTCTGCTCATGCACTAATGCCACATGATCTTATTTATTTTAGTTTTGCAATGCATTCTGGTACCTGGCAGGCCAAGTATACCCTAGATTTTCTTCCTGTTAAATAATTTCTTTAGTCTTCTTAATTTTGAGTATCATTTCATCATATTCCTTAAAATCCTCTTTAAATTAGGACTGAAATTGCATTGACTTTATGATTATTTGGAGGTGAATTGGTATCTTTCAGTCTTGATTTTCCCAACCAAAAACATTATCTGTCTTTCTCTTTTTTTCCAGTCTTCCAGCTTTCTTCCTAAAAGGTCTATTTATTTTTAGGTTAAATCTTAGATATTTTGAATATTTTGTTGCCACTATGAGTGGGATTTTTTTTTTCACACTAAATCTTCTAAATAATTACAACTGATTTGAGTATTCACTCCTTTCTATATGTTGATTTCAAAAACTGCCACCTTAATAAGCTCACTTATTTATTCTAGGACACAATTTTGGATGATTTTCCTGGATTTTCCAGATAGAAAATCATACCTGGGACTTCCCTGGTGGTGCAGTGGTTAAGAATCTGCCTGCCAGTGCAGGGGACACGGGTTCGAGCCCTGGTCCAGGAAGCTCCCACATGCCGCGGAGCAACTAAGCCCGTGCGCCACAACTACTGAGCCTGAGCTCTAGAACCTGCAAGCCACAACTACTGAAGCCCGTGTGCCACAGCTACTGAAGCCTGCACACCTAGAGCCCGTGCTCCGCAGCAAGAGAAGCCACCGCAATGAGAAGCCCACGCACCGCAACGAAGAATAGCCCCTGCTTGCCACAACTAGAGAAAGCCCGCACACAGCAACGAAGACCCAACGCAACCAAAAATAAAATAAATAAATTTTAAAAAAAAAAGAAAAGGGCTTCCCTGGTGGCGCAGTGGTTGAGAGTCCGCCTGCCGATGCAGGGGACATGGGATCGTGCCCCGGTCCGGGAAGATCCCACATGCCGCGGAGCGGCTGGGCCCGTGAGCCATGGCCGCAGAGCCTGCGCGTCCGGAGCCTGTGCTCCGCAACGGGAGAGGCCAAAAAAGTGAGAGGCCCGCGCAAGGAAAAAAAAAAAAAAAAAAAAAAAGAAAATCATACCTGGCTAGAACCTCCATAACAGTCTAAAATAGCAGCAATTGCTTGCATTCTTGTCTTGTTCATTATATTAAGGAGAATGCCTTTCCTCTTTCAGTTAAGGTAGGGTGTGGGCTGTGTGTCTGTGATAGCTGTTCTTGATGATGGAAAGGGGTTACTTTCTAGTTCTATGGAAATATTTTCAACAGCTTAACCTTAAAAAATCAGGATGTATGTAGATTTTAATTGAAAACTTTCAACATCAGAGAATCTTTGTCTTTTTTTCTCCTTAACCTACTAATAGGTTACTTGATTTTGTGATTTTAAGCCATCCTTGTATTCCTAAATAATCCTTATTGGTCACAGTGTATTCTTCTTTTACTAAACTGTCAAAATCAGCTTGGTGGTATTTTCTTTTGGTTTTTGGCACCCATGTTGCTGGAGGTTGGATAGCTAAGAGTGTGAGCCCTTCACTCAGAATACTGGAGTTTGAATCTCGATCCTTTATTCCCTTGGCTATTAACAGCACTTCTCAGGTGAAGCTGCCCAAGTGTTTATCTCTGCTGAGTTCCAGATTCTTATAACAATTGCCTGAATTGATACTCCCACTTGAATGGCTCATAGCTGTAGCAAAGTTAGTATGTCCAAACTAAAACTTTATTTTCTCTCACAAGCATGGCCCTCCATCAGTTTCCTCTATTTCAATAGATGGCATCACCACCATCTGCCTGGCTATGAAAGCCACAAACCTGATCAACTCTCACTCCTCCATCCACTCTATCTGCTTAATTGGTTCTTTCTGCAAAATACATCCCATTTTTTCACAGCTCCTCAACTGCATTGGCACAGTCCCAGGCCACACCACCATCTTCCTTCAATTGTTTTATAAGTGGTCTCACCATTTCCTTTCTTGCCCCCAAAGTTTTCTACTTACACAACAGGGGGAACTTTGTTAAAAAAAAGAAAAAGATCCTGTGATGTTATTCTCCTAAGACCCTTTAATGGCTTCCCACCGTCTTTCAGGTTCCAGATACCTATCTTCCTTAGTGCTTGAACCCACAAACTAAACATCTTACTCACCACTGTGTCCTCAGCCACAGCACAATGTTAGACCCTTAGAAGACAACAAATATTTGTTAAACTAATCAATGGCTATTGTACAGTAACGTTTTTCTCCATTTCTCCTATGGTTTATCGTCAAATTTTCTATTTCTTTAAAAACTGGCACGTACTAGCTGTTCCATAAATATTTGCTTAATGCATTGATTCTAACATCTGTTTTTATAATTTAATAGGAAGGCAATCCATCCCACAAAGATTTTTAATTCATAAAACTTTTACTTTTCACAGTTAGGTCTCTAGAGTCTGCTTTTGCATGTGGTGTTAGGATCCTAGTTTTATTTTCCTCCAGTTTCCCAGAAGCATCTGCTAAACAAACGTTTCTTTCTCCATTGATTTGTGGTGTCCGATTTATCATTTATCAGGTTTGTACTAAAGAATATATACATGGGTTTATATCTGAACTTGCTATTCTCCTTCCTTTGATCTGTAGGTCTGTTTCTAGACTGTTACCATATTTATTACATATTTATTACTATGACTTTGTAATAGGATTTAATGTCTGATAACAGTAGATTCTCTCCTTTTTTCAGGTTGAGTTTGCTACCTGTGGACATTTCTTACCTCTTGTGCGTTTATTGAATTCCTCAAAAAATCCAGGTGGAATTTTGATTGTCATTTTATTATTATAAGTTCATTTGGGGGTAATTGACATCTTTATAGTACTAAGTTGTTCCAACCAAAACCTTTCCATGTTTACAGATCATCTTCTTTGTTCTTTACTAATGTTCAATTTTTTTTTCCCCAGTCTTAAGTCAATCCTAGATACTTTATAGCTTGGGTTGAAATTATTACTATCTTATTAATTTTTTTCTAGTTGATTATTGCTGGTGTAGAGAAATGCTGATTTTTGTAGGCCAATCTTGTATCCCACAGCCTATCCCTCTAGTTGTCTCGTGTTACCTCTGTTGAGTCTGTTCAATTTTCTATGTTTATGATCACATTAATTCCACATAATGTCAGCTGGAGCTCTTTCCTTGGAGTTCTTGCACCAGTTACTTCTTTGTCTTTGCATATGGCATTGGAAGGACCTCCAGTCCTGTGGCAGTGTACATCCTTGTCTTGTTTCTGATCTTAAAGGGACTACATTCAAAACTTATTGTGTTTGCTGTTTTATATAATCTTTATTAAGTTAAGGAAGTTACCTCCTATTCCTAGTCTACTAAGAGTATTTTTCTTAGTGATAAATAGGTATTGACTGTTGTCAAATACTTAGTGTCTTGAAATGTGCCAGAGTGTTAGGCCACAACCTGACCGTTCTCTGAGAGCATCTTATATGAAGTGTCGTAGCACAGCCAGACATTCAGAAACCTAGTCTCTATTCCTAGCAATTTCACTAATTAACACTGTAATCACAGATATGTCACTTGACTTTTCTGAATCTTGGTGGCCTAATTTGTAGAGTGAGAAGTTTGGATTAAATAATATAAGATCTTCCTTATTTTATCACAAACAGAAAGATTCTCCAAGGTCTCATTAAGTTTTGAGTCCTTATCCTTAGAAATGATTCTCTGCTTCAAAATGTAGTTGTTAATTTTTATGCTTTTTATAATTAAATGTTGCTATTGTTGTGCTCAACTGATTTTAAAATGATCTTGTCTTAATATAGTTTATGATCATCCAACTTTAATATTCAGTTTTAAAGTACTGATCAGCAACATACGCCCATGGCCCTTATGCCCTATTACCTGTATCTCCAGTCCATGGTCATTCTTCAGCTCCAGACTCACCAAGCTAACTGCCTACTGGTATCTCTTGTCCCAGTAGGCAGCTTGATAATGGCATTGTAGCTTGATAATGGCATTGCCAAAGCCACACACTACATTTGTCTCCCTCCAGACTTGCTCCACCTTCCGTGTTCTGTCCACACAATTGCCCAATCCAGAAATCTGGATGCCGCCTCGATTCGTCCAGTCTTTCATCTTCCACGTCAAACACCAAGCTTTCCAGAATTCCCTGAGGTGTTTGAGCAGAATTGTGAGCAGCCTGGAAGCCAAGAGCTGAGCCCCATTAGCAAATGGAAAATAGATCAGGGAAGCAGACCTGCAGAAGACTGAGTGCCAGGAGATGTGGATGCGAGATTGAGGCCAGTCAGCATATCCCAGGACCCTGTCCCTCTGACCTTACACAAAAGAGCCTCCAAAAATCCTAATTGGCATATTCTGAGCAGTTTAGCTGGGCTTATAACTTTCAAATATATTTTTATTTACACCAAGACATTTCAATAGTGATAGTAGAAACAAACATGATGTTAATTCATTTATTTGTTTAATCAGTCTTCCTCTGAATATTATCCAATTTAGTCTTTAGTTCTGAAGGTTATGAAAAATAATTTTATAATATTAGATGCCATTTTTATTTGAAGGTGTCCCAGCGCTGGGGATAAGACTACTATCAGCATTACAGCGTGTGCCATTTTTGGTTTTGTGGCACATGGTATTTTGGAGCATATGGTTTGACATGGGGTACAGTAGAAACTAATGATCATTCTACTATATGTCTTTAATCTCTGCTCTTGGAACCAAGCACCCAGGGTAAATGAGGTCTTCAATCTGAAAGGAGGTTTTTAATTGATGAATGTACATTCTGCAAAGGTTCATAAATTATCATGCAGGATATTTTGTTTATTCCTAAGCCATGCTAGCCCTTTCATATAAGATATGTGTCTTTTCTACCAAAAATTAGGAGAAAATAAGTCACTCACGAACCATTAAATGCTGAACTAAGACTCATTCAGTGAGTGAAAGACTGCAGAGCTTGTGAACACAGCCTTCCTTACCCCATTTTGAACAGCCCCATTTGTTTCTGTCTATAGAGAGAAAAATGAATTTATAGGTGGGCTTGCAGAACCTTGCACATTTCCTGTTCCCCAAAATTTATTGTATTGAGAATTTCTTTGAGGAAATTCTTGTTGGCATTTATATGTTCAGAGGATATTAATTCCTTCACTTAACAGGTATCTATTGTGTATATGCTCTGTGCCAGGCCCTGAGGAGACAGCAGTGAACAAAAGAGACGTTTCCAGCTTACATTCCTGCGGGAGGAAAGAGGACATGAGCCAGCTATTTAGAAAATGATTTAATGATTTCAGCACCTACCTGGGGGTGTTCCTAACTGGACATTAGAATCACTTCCATAGGGGCCATGCCAGGGTCTCGGGAGGTTCCAGGAGCTCATATCCCTCATAACAGCCCAAATCACTACTTCAGAGAAGCTCAAAGCTATGGCAAACCCACCAGGTGTTTATAGTTTCTTCCAGTTTAGATACAATGTATCAACCAGAGGTTATTTTTATCATAAGCAATGTTGCTGGCATTCCACCTTTATCAAGTTTCTAGGAAACAGAGCCAGAAATTATCTTAAGGTCAGATTTGTCCTGAGAGAAGGAGAAAGAGCTGTGTTAACCCTTTACCTACAATTACTTTTGCTGTAAGGGTTGCAAAACAGACATGGAATGTGAAGAACATATATGACCAAGAACATTTATAGCTGATGCCACTGCTATGCAGTCATTATGCTGCAGACGTTAAGTGTTTTCAACATAAACACACAATGCTGACACCCTCTTTATTTTGCAGATAAGTCATCATGGTGAAAAGCCACATAGCCAGTTGGATCCTGGTTCTCTTTGTGGCCACGTGGAGTGACATGGGCTTCTGCAAGAAGCGACCAAAGCCTGGAGGAGGATGGAACACTGGGGGGAGCCGATACCCAGGACAGGGCAGTCCTGGAGGCAACCGCTATCCACCCCAGGGAGGGGGAGGCTGGGGTCAGCCCCACGGTGGTGGCTGGGGACAGCCCCACGGTGGTGGCTGGGGTCAACCCCACGGTGGTGGCTGGGGACAGCCCCATGGTGGTGGAGGCTGGGGTCAAGGTGGTGGTACCCATAATCAGTGGAAGCCCAGTAAGCCAAAAACCAACATGAAGCATGTGGCAGGAGCTGCTGCAGCTGGGGCGGTGGTAGGGGGCCTTGGCGGCTACATGCTGGGGAGTGCCATGAGCAGGCCCCTTATACATTTTGGCAGTGACTATGAGGACCGTTACTATCGTGAAAACATGTACCGTTACCCCAACCAGGTATACTACAGACCAGTGGATCAGTATAACAACCAGAACAGCTTCGTGCATGACTGTGTCAATATCACAGTCAAGCAGCACACGGTCACTACCACCACCACCAAGGGGGAAAACTTCACTGAGACGGACATCAAGATGATGGAGCGTGTGGTGGAGCAGATGTGCATCACCCAGTACCAGAGAGAATACCAGGCTTATTACCAAAGAGGGGCAAGTGTGATCCTTTTCTCCTCCCCTCCTGTGATCCTCCTCATCTCTTTCCTCATTTTCCTCATAGTGGGATGAGGAAGGCCTTCTTGTTTTCATCATCTTAATCTTCACCAGGTTGGGGGAGGGGGTATCTACCTGCAGCCCTTTAGTGGTGGTGTCTCATTCTTGCTTCTCTGTTCGTCACCTGTAGGTTAATACCCTTAGCACTTACAGCACTGGGAAATGGAAAGTAGATCTGAAATGCTATTTATTCAAGCCCCATTTGATTTAATCCTTCATAGGCCAACACTAGTGCTGAGCTGGTAAAAGTGTAACAGCAAATAATCATTGGTTGATCTAGGCTTATTTTTTGTCTAGTGCAACAGATTGAGGCTAAAACAGTTCTCAAAGCAGTCTTCAAATACCTTTGCCTAAATACCTCCAGCTCCTTCTCCAGCTAGAGCTCAGTACACTAATGCCCCATCTTAGCAGTGATTTTATAGCAATTTCCTCATTTGTTTTAAGAAAACCTGACTGCATTTCCCTGTTCAGACAGCATTTCTGCCAAATCTGGAAGGAGGCTGCATAATATTCATTCAAAAAATAAAACTAGAAATCCTTAGCTTGTGGGCCCAGGCTCAACCCGGTGGAAAGCATGTGTCCTGTGTCTGCAGAGAACTGTAAGGATGTTTTGCATTTTGCAATACGGGTTACACAGCAGCTGTTGCATCAAGAATGGATATTCGTGCAACACTAGACTTCAGGGCAGAGGACATTTTCACAGGGAATGAACATAACTAACATAATATGAAAGGCTTCTGAGACTAAAAATTTCCAACATATGGAAGAGGTGCCCTCGGAGACAGCCTCCCATCTTGGATGTTTAAAGCACCTTTATGTGGTATTCTTTTCTTTAGTAATATAAACTATAGATAATGCAGGTACTTTAATTAAACTACCTTTTGGACACTGAGAGCAAATCTCTTTTGTTTGTTTACCTGGAAAGCAGAATGATTTTAACATTGTTTGGATGAAGCCAGGAGATTTTAACACAGAGGAAACAGCAGCTATAAAAAACACGGTATTCAGGTCCTTAGTTTCTGGAATTGGCTTTTGAATCAAAGAATAGGGAGGCATTCCAAAAAAAAAATAGGTTAGAGATGGTAGGAATATGATCCATTCAAAGTGGAAAAAGAAATTCTGTTACCATTATTTAAGTAAGGTAAAATTACTCCCTGGGTTGTTCAATATTGTCACCTAGCAGATTTACATTACTATTCTGCACTGTTATTACTGGCTTGCACTTTGTGGGTATCCTATGTAGAAAAAAAAAAATTTATATATATATATATATATATATATATACATATATATATATTGCATATGACAAAATTAGAAATTTTGGTTAGAGCAATTAACATCTGAACTATCTAATGCATTACCTGTTTTTGTAAGGTACTAAATACTTAATAACACTTAAAGGAAACCCTTTTGTGTGGTCCTTAGGCTTACAATGTGCACTGAATAGTTTTGTATAAGAATACAGAGTGGTATTTGAAATACGCATGTGCTTTATATTTTCTATATTTGTAACTTTGCATGTACTTTGTTGTATTAAAAGTTTGTAAGTGTTTAATATCTGACTAATATTAAACAGGAGCTAAAAGGAGCATCTTCCTTGAAGTTTGCGGTTGTGCTTCACCTTTGTGCACCCCATGTTGGCAGCTTCATTTTGGGGGTTAATCTGAGCAAAGTGGCGCGTTCACTGCTTGTGGTGGCCAATGTTTCACACACCCACTCCTGATCCTGCCTCAGCCTTACTCCCAGTCACATGCCAGCTATCCTCTGCTGCCTTTTCATTTTTTTCCACAAGTACCTGGCGAAGTCACTTCTGCAGCAGAGGAAAACAGTCCTTGAATTCTGGAAGCTTTTTTCTGTTCTGGATTTTGAAATAGAGGATTTTCTTGATTAAGATAAGACTTAACAAACTAAATTATCTACTTGATGCCCATCCCCGCCCTCAACACCAACTCAGGTTATAAACTGTGAGACCTGGTAAAGATCACTCTTTGGATTGAAATACAACACCGTAAGGTCAATAGGCCACTTTCCTTTGTCACAGGGTTTCAACTCATTTTTCATGTTTTCTTCTTCACAAGTGTGAAGTACCAGCTCTCAGTTTTCCTTCACAGAGGTTTTCTTCTGCATCTGTAATTTACCAACAGCAGGAAATAATCATAAAAAATGACAGTGGTTGAAATCATAATATTTATTAATACCTTAGCAAATGCCAGTATCCTTCAATATCTAAACAGAGGATCAACTTTGCATTAAGAATGAAAAGATAAAAACATCTTGAAACCCCATCATTCACAAAACTATTAAAACAAATGACATATACAAAGACTCAAAAGCATTACTCAAAGTTAATCATTAACATAAAAATTTCTAGGACTATTTTCATTCAGCCCTTTTGACCATATTTCTAATTATTTAAAAATAAACTATTCATTATCTGCCAATCATACTTTCTCAAAAATAGCCTACTGAGAAGGCTTCAATCATTAAAAGCATAGGTATTTGGAGGGCCAAAGTGAATGATACACATCTGTATCTTTCTCAGCCACCATGTTTTCTTCCTGTTACTTCCAACTACTATGAGTTGTGCTAAAGGAATTTTTACTAAAAAAATTTTAAATCAATTTTAAATAACTGAGTCTAACCCTCACAGAGGGGTCTTCCAGAGAAGTGTCAGGTGTCAACCTTTGTTTCCCTTCCTTTCTCTCTGGGGTTAAAGCCAAATAAGTGTCACCTGCCTTTGAAAGGGATTTGGGGTCTGTACTGCTTCCCACCCTAGTGGGAGCCTTAATCTGGCAAGAACCTGAGCTTCCCCAGGCTCAGGCCCTGACCTTGCATTGGTCTAAGCATGACTGACCTACACAGTTCATTTCCACCTGAGAAAGGTCAATTCCTCTCTGGCTCTTCAAAACTGGAGGATTCAGCTCCTCCTGCATTAAGCTTACATTTCCATCCTTTGCCCCACTCCTGTGAGGCCTACCCCTGTTCTCCAGGAAGCCACGCCTTCCACTGCGTACACCCAGTCTACAAGATTCACGTCTGCCTTGGTACATCTGTCCTTTCCTCCAGAGCCGGTGCTCTGTTCTTGCCCTGGAGCAATGCTCCTCAAATTTGAATGTGCTCACCAATCTGCAAGTCCTGACTGGGGCCCAAGATTCTGCATTTCTCACAAGTTCCTAGATGGTGCCATGCTGGTTCTGTGAAACCTCACTGACACAAGGCCCTCAGGGTTCTCACACTATATCCTGCATTGGCACCTCCTGGAGGCTTGTTCAGCACAGGTTGCTGGGCCCCACGGCAGAGTTTCTGATTCTGGAGTGCAGGGTAGGACCTGAGAATGTACATTTCTAACAAACTGCCTGGCAATGCTGCTGTCGATGTGGAGATTGCACATGGAGCTCCACTGCTCTACAGGAAGATGTGAAGGAAATAGAAGGTGGCCTGGCCCTGAAGTACAGAGCTGTTAGAGAGACTAAAAACCTGACTGGAACTCTCCCTGGGGAGGAGAAAGATGGGCGCTCTAAGGATGAAAGGCCATGGAGGTGTAAGGAGGTGGTTAACACCTGCTACCTGAAAAGCTGGAAGCACAGGTGAGTCCTGAGGCCCACCACTAGTGAGAGACAGCTAAACCTGGAATGGTACCCACCCTGCAAATGTAGCACTTCTCAAACTCTGATGGGCATGCACATCACCTGAGAACCTTGTCAAAATGCAGTTCTGAGGCCACAAGTTTGATGTGGGCTCGGAGATTTGGTGTTTCTGCCAGCTCCCAGGCGATGTGATGCTGCTGGTCCCAGGACCACACCGAGAAACAAGGGCCTAGAGGCCCAAGTCATCTCTTCTAACCCTGGCCAAGACTTTGGAGAAGCACTGAAGGCTCAGGGGGAGTGGGGAGTGGCCAGCAGGGAGTCTACCTTCTCTTGATTTAGCCCTTAGTGCTGCCTCTCCTGCTTTCACAGCACAATCCTCCTGCCTGGCCTGAGTTAAAAGAATCAACCACCTGCAGGCAGCAGTGAAGTCAGCTTCTATCTTATCTCAGAGCCAAACAGAGCTAGTTAACTGCTCCTGCGGGAAGTCTCAGACCCAGAGACATTCTGTCACTTGTCCAAGGTCACACAAATAGTATATTCACAAAAGTACATTGTGGAAACTCTTTGCCTTTGGTTTGTGATGATATTTAAGGGTTTGGCTCAAAGGTGCCAGGCCTCGGGCACTGTGTACAACCCATGGCCTCTGTGAAGGGCGCCCCCTGGTCTTCTGCGGGGCTCCAGCTTGAGGGGACTCAGTTGACTCCAAGGGGAATCTGAAGGAAGGGTCAGAAATCCTAAAAGCAATCTCAGCCTAAAATGCCTCCTTCCCTAGACAGACCCTCCATCACTCCCATACATGCCTCCCTTGTATTATTTCAGAGGTGACCTGCAGCCAGGACCCACTGGTTGGTGGCCCTCTCTAACCAAACCATGGTCCCCTAAGCCCTAGAGCACGAGTCACCTCCTGCTGGAGCCCCCAGGCTGTAGGCCACCAGGGTGATTGGGGCTGGGGGCTTTTTTCTCTGTAACTGTTCTGGCAAATCTACATCTTTCCTCCCTCCTTCTCTAAAAACAAACAATAAACAAACAAAAGCAAGGTCATAATCTTTATATTGGGTAAAGATAACAGTTTTCATTAACTCCATCCTTTAACACCCTTACTCAACCCAATCATTTCAGAAAACTTTACAGGACCTTGTTTCATTGCCTTTCTTGTTGAATATACCATCTTGATTAGTTTGCTAGGGCTGCCATAAAAAAATACCACAAACTGAGGTGCTTAAACAACAGAAATTTATTTTCTCACTGTTCTGGAGGCTGGAAGTCTGAGGTTAAGGTGTCATCAGGGTTGGTTTCTTCTGAGGCCTCTCTCCTTGGCTTGTAGACGGACATCTTCTCCCTGTGTCTTCGCACCGTCTTCCCTGTGTGTGTCTCTGTGTCCTAATCTCTTTTTATAAGGACACCACTCATCAAATGTGATTAGGGCCCACCCTAACGGCGTCATTTTTTCTTTTTTTAAAAATTTTAACATCTTTATTGGAGTATAATTGCTTTACAAAACGGCTTCATTTTAATTTAACTTTAAATTAACTCTTTAAAGGCCCTAACTCCAAATACAGTAATTTTTCGGTATTGGGGACTAGGACTTCAACACCTATCAAGAAATGTCATAGCAGCATGTCAGTGTCACTCTAAATACAGCTCAAAGGCAGTCCCAGGACTAAGAGGGTCTTTTGGGTGCCCCACATTCACACACTACACCGTTATCTGGATCACTCTATGCCTTCAAAAGACCGGGCCACTGCCCACCGATCCACTTAGGATTGCCAAGGGTGCTTACCTCCTACTGCCCATTGCAAACAGAAATGCTTCCATTCTGGATACAGCCCCTGAAATCCAGCCACCACGCCCCCATGGCTCACACAAAGTGAAGAGTTTCATAATCAAAGTTGTTTAGTTTGGCTCATACTAATGAAGATCTAAAACTCTAAGCCAGATAATGTTCCTCCCACACACAAATACACTGCAAACACACCTGGCTTAGAGTTATACTGATTATGAGTTAATTAACATAAGACGGAGTGTTAGCTATAATTCAGGGGGTACTACAGAAAGTTGGCAAGATGCCATCCCCGCAATGCTGCCAAATTCTGAATGCTAGGCTTGCCCGTCACCCTGCTCACGGTAGCTGTCCACACATGGAACGGGTCCACTCAGGTTTCTTTATGGCTCCAGCTCATCTTCCCAAGGCCCCAACTCCAAAGTGCAGGGAGAACCCCACAGATTCCAGGCCCACCAGGTGGTCTTGCCATTGGCTAGACTCACAGACCAGGAGCTCAATGAGAAAGGAGACCATGTTTTCTTTGTCCAGCTTATTTCCCCCATTCCCTTGTATGTCTCTGAATCGCCTTTTTTTTTTTTTTTTTTTTTTGCGGTAAGTGGGCCTCTCACTATTGCGGCCTCTCCTGTTGCGGAGCACAGGCTCAGCGGCCATGGCTCACGGGCCCAGCCACTCCACGGCATGCGGGATCTTCCCGGACCAGGGCACGAACCCGTGTCCCCTGCATCGGCAGGCGGACTCTCAACCACTGCGCCACCAGGGAAGCCCTCTGAATCTCCTTTTATTCCAGCCCTCCAAGGAGGCCTTTTCTCTCCAACCACTCTTTTCTCCGTACTGCCTTCCAGGAGGTGATGAGACATCATGGGTTTGTTATTTCCATGGCATCATGCAAATACCAAGGCTATTTTTGTGGACCAGACTAGCCCAGAAGAAGGGTTTCTCACCTCCAGTTAAGGCCATCAGACAGGGCTAATGTTTCCTCAAGAAACATCTCTGGACCTTTGATGAATGATGATATGCTCAGTCAAGCCCAGATTCCCCCTGTAAATATGTCAGAGACCATTCTTAGCTTTGAGAATTTTAGGAGAATGATTTTTCACTGCCACCCATGGAGGAGGCCCACTGTGGCTCTGCTGCTCATTTGATTCCCACAGCTGGGGTGGCCGCATTCCTCAGAACGTGCCAGGAGATGAGCTCAATAAATAAACCAGGTTGGGCTGTTTGGCTCTGTCCAG